TCATAAAAAATAGCCTGGTGAGGAAGGGGAGAGAGAACCTCCGGAGGGCAAGTGGTTAAAGCAGAACTAAACCCTCCTATCACATTCAGCCAAGGAAGCTGCCATCTCTTTGATCTGCCATTGCCCTGGTTCTGCGTATGTGATCACTTATAACTCCAGTCATTTGATGGTTTGACAGTTTGGTTAGGAACAAAAACAAATGTGAGTTACATTCCTGGCATGGATTCCTGACAGTTGCCATCCCTGGTGTACTGAGGGCTCAACTACACACGAGGCCTCTACAAAACGTCCTCCTATCAGTTTGGGACGGAGACCAGAATTCATTAGACCTATTGGTATCAATCTCCTAACAAATCAAAGGGTCAGTGATCTGGTGGCTACACACCAAGCTCTCTTCTGGATTCAACTAATTACAACAAACCCCAGTGGCTGGCGTGCTCACATGGGGCAGCAGATGAGCCCTTGGAGGGCCCGTAGTTTATCAAATTCCAGAGAACTGAAAGTGGTCATGGAAGCAATTCACCAATTTGGTCCATGGATAAAGGGACCTCACATACAAATCCTTTCAGGCAATGCAACCAGTATCTCACATAAACAAGAAAGATGGGACGAAGTCTCCTCCTGACGATGATAGCAGAGAAGATTCTGCCATGGACGGAAGAAAATCTTCTCTCTATATCAGCAGTCCATCTAATAGGGAAGATGAATTTCCTAGTGGCCTTTCTCAGGAAGAGGAAACAGAGACAGGCATATAGTGGTCACTGGATCTGTAAACCTTCAGTCAAAACACAGTGAGATGGGGTGTCCTGGAGGAAGACCTTCCTCACTGGAATAGAACAGCAGCAATCTTGAGGTGGATGCGTTTGCACACCCATTGAGTTTCAGACTAGCCCCCCCCCCCCCCCATTTCTATTAGGTGGTGGTGCAAAAGATTATTTCAGACAAATATTATGTTTATAGCTTCTTTTTGTCCAGAAAGCCTAGTTTGCAAGCTTATGCTATCTGGGAATACCACCAGCATGGATTTCAACTCCCAAACCGTCCTTTTTCCACAAGAGCCGACTGTGCATCCACAAGTGTACTGGCAGTCCTTCACAGCATGACTTCTGAAAGCGAAATCCTGGGGAGCAAAGGACTATCAAAGGTTTTAGAGATTGCAAGAGGGACAAGATGTAAATCTGACATGTAGCACCCTGAAAGGGGCAGCCAGGAGGGTCCGTGAAATTCTTGTTGTGTCAGAATCACATTGCTCTATTCTGTTCGACTTGGAAGTTATGAGACCGGAACTCCTTTTCATAGGTCACAAGATATTATTCTATTGTTCTGTGACAACCCAGATAATGAGGCAATTTCCACAAGTCAGAAGATGTTTATTCGCTTGTTTGGAGCTCACTAAATCCCGCAGGAAGTCCACCAACATATTTGTACTTCTTCCTGGTCCAAAGAAAAGAACTAAAAATACAATATCTAGATGGGTTAGAAGAGCTGCTATAGCAGCCTATCAGTCTCTATCTCTTATATCCCCAAAGGGGCATTGAAGTTCTTTCAGTGAGGGCTTTGGTGTCGACAGAAAAAAGTACTGTTGGAGTGGCCTTCTCTTCAGCCAAGGCCAAACCTTTGGTAGAAAGGTTCTACAGGCTGTCGTTTTCCACCAGTAGGTACTGTATTTCTGGATGGTTCTCTCCTGAGCTGTATTTCTGGATGGTCCTCTCCTGAGCTGTATTTCTGGGTGGTCCTCTCCTGAGCTGTATTTCTGGGTGGTCCTCTCCTGAGCTGTATTTCTGCGTGGTCCTCTCCTGAGCTGTATTTCTGCGTGGTCCTCTCCTGAGCTGTATTTCTGGGTGGTCCTCTCCTGAGCTGTATTTCTGGGTGGTCCTCTCCTGAGCTGTATTTCTGGGTGGTCCTCTCCTGAGCTGTATTTCTGGGTGGTCCTCTCCTGAGCTGTATTTCTGGGTGGTCCTCTCCTGAGCTGTATTTCTGGGTGGTCCTCTTCTGAGCTGTATTTCTGGGTGGTCCTCTCCTGAGCTGTATTTCTGGGTGGTCCTCTCCTGAGCTGTATTTCTGGGTGGTCCTCTCTGAGCTGTATTTCTGGGTGGTCCTCTCCTGAGCTGTATTTCTGGGTTTCTGGCTGTGGTCCTCTGCTGAGCTGTATTTCTGCGTGGTCCTCTCCTGAGCTGTATTTCTGCGTGGTCCTCTCCTGAGCTGTATTTCTGGATGGTCCTCTCCTGAGCTGTATTTCTGCGTGGTCCTCTCCTGAGCTGTATTTCTGGTGGTCCTCTCCTGAGCTGTATTTCTGCGTGGTCCTCTCCTGAGCTGTATATTTGGGTGGGTGGTCCTTCCTGAGCTGTATTTCTGGGTGGTCCTTTCCTGAGCTGTATTTCTGGGTGGTCCTCTCCTGAGCTGTATTTCTGGGTGGTCCTCTCCTGAGCTGTATTTCTGGTATGGTCCTCTCCTGAGCTGTATTTCTGGGGGTCCTCTCCGGAGCTGTATTTCTGCGTGGTCCTCTCCTGAGCTGTATTTCTGCGTGGTCCTCTCCTGAGCTGTATTTCTGGGTGGTCCTCTCCTGAGCTGTATTTCTGGGTGGTCCTCTCCTGAGCTGTATTTCTGGGTGGTCCTCTCTGAGCTGTATTTCTGGGTGGTCCTCTCCTGAGCTGTATTTCTGGATGGTCCTCTCCTGAGCTGTATTTCTGGGTGGTCCTCTCCGAGCTGTATTTCTGGGTGGTCCTCTCTGTGGTCCTCTCCTGAGCTGTATTTCTGCGTGGTCCTCTCCTGAGCTGTATTTCTGCGTGGTCCTCTCCTGAGCTGTATTTTTCTGCGTGGTCCTCTCCTGAGCTGTATTTCTGGGTGGTCCTCTGCTGAGCTGTATTTCTGGATGGTCCTCTCTTGAGCTGTATTTCTGGGTGGTCCTCTCCTGAGCTGTATTTCTGGGTGGTCCTCTCCTGAGCTGTATTTCTGCGTGGTCCTACTACTGTACTACTTGTGGGGGGTGATGAAGATCTTTTTTTTTTTTTACACTGATTGCTTTACACCCATAAATGCTGCAAAAGCAATAATTTCTCCTTCTCTGTCTGCATTCTTGCAGCCATTGAGAAATACTGTGTGAGCTGTGATTGGTCACAGCTTGTCACATGGTACAAGGCTGTTGTGAATAGCCCTGTACCATGTGACCCCTGTGATCATTCACAGATTTCACACATAGTAAGCAATGGTGTCAGAAGTGACATCTTGCTTACTACTCATGTGATCACTGATTGGCCAATCAGTGATCACATGATCGGGACCTCACACAGAGGTCCCATACGACGATTGGTGTTCCACTGTGTCCGGAGGACACAATGGGCACCGGATCGCGGTGCTGCGCGCTCCCAAGGAGCATTTATGAACGGCAACCCGCCCCTGGACTGCCACCGTCTGGCTGTTTATATATAGCGGCCGGACGGCAAGTGGTTAAAGAATGTATACAGCGCCTTGAAAAAGTCTTCCTCCCCCTCGAAATGGTCCCCATGTTGTCATGTGACCACCAAAACCGTCAACCAAGGTGGTCCTACAAAGTATTGACTCCACACTCTTCACAGATTTATTGGTCACAAATGTTGGAAACCATTTCTCGTTTTCTTTCCACTTTACGATGATGTGCCACTTTGTGTCGGTCCATCATATCCAATCCCAGTAAATACATTGACGGTTCTGGTTGTCACATGACAACATTGGGGAACATTTCAAGAGGGAGGAAGACTTTTTTCAAGGCACTGTAGCTGCATTAATGTGTATATTTTATACCTGCCCAGGGTCCAGCTTCACTGTTATTATTCTGCCGTTCTCTAATCCTGATAATTCAGTGCCAGCAGATCTACAATAATCTATACACAGAGCATACCTTCAGTAACGTGTCTGTAAGTATGTGCCAAAGGAAATGTGCTTCCCTTTAGGTGTGCCTACTCCATGCTGGTACTTGCCGACTTACTCCATGCTGGTACTTGCCGACTTACTCCATGCTGGTACTTGCCGACTTACTCCATGCTGGTACTTGCCGACTTACTCCATGCTGGTACTTGCCGACTTACTCCATGCTGGTACTTGCCGACTTACTCCATGCTGGTACTGCCGACTTACTCCATGCTGGTACTTGCCGACTTACTCCATGCTGGTACTTGCCGACTTACTCCATGCTGGTACTTGCCGACTTACTCCATGCTGGTACTTGCCGACTTACTCCATGCTGGTACTTGCCGACTTACTCCATGCTGGTACTTGCCGACTTACTCCATGCTGGTACATGACTTACTCCATGCTGGTACTTGCCGACTTACTCCATGCTGGTACTTGCCGACTTACTCCATGCTGGTACTTGCCGACTTACTCCATGCTGGTACTTGCCGACTTACTCCATGCTGGTACTTGCCGACTTACTCCATGCTGGTACTTGCCGACTTACTCCATGCTGGTACTTGCCGACTTACTCCATGCTGGTACTTGCGACTTACTCCATGCTGGTACTTGCCGACTTACTCCATGCTGGTACTTGCCGACTTACTCCATGCTGGTACATGCCGACTTACCATGCTGGTACTTGCCGACTTACTCCATGCTGGTACTTGCCGACTTACTCCATGCTGGTACTTGCCGACTTACTCCATGCTGGTACTTGCCGACTTACTCCATGCTGGTACTTGCCGACTTACTCCATGCTGGTACTTGCCGACTTACTCCATGCTGGTACTTGCCGACTTACTCCATGCTGGTACATGCCAATTACCGTATTCCTGTCCAGGGAGGCGGCACCTCTTGGGTCATGGAGGGAACACGGTCTTTGATATAACCATGTATGCACTGAGCCCTGTGTCTGCAGACAGTTCTACAAGGAATTGTGAGGGACAGAATCATTAATGTTCATAGTAGAAGGGAAGAATGTGAATGGTTGGATTTCCAAGCTTGTATGACATGCTGGTATATATTCTATTGAAGGCTGTTTAATTCTTTATCTGTGTTTCATGTAACAGAGCAGCACTCTATGGAAACACAGCATACAGAAAAGATGGAAAAGTACAATATCAGACGTGGTTCCTCCCTCCAGAGTGGCTGTGCCAAATGCCACTGCAAACCGAACAGTAGGCCGGTGGCTGCTTTTGTGTAGCGGCATGGTAGGGGGCGCTGTGCTCCTAGGCGGAGTCACTAGGTAAGAAATCCATTGTCCTCTATGAGCTTTGCCTTGTATTGGTTATTGTCATATATAGATGTTGGTGATGATGCTGCTATAAACACCTTCAGGAACTCCATGACAGCTTTTCTGCCTTTTCTCAGATTAACAGAGTCTGGACTGTCAATGGTCGATTGGCACCTCATTAAAGAGATGAAGCCACCTGCAAATGACGAAGAGTGGGTGGCAGAGTTTGAAAAATACCAGCAATTTCCTGAGTTTAAAATGTAAGTATCAAGATTCAGTGTGAGGATGACGGTAAATAGCCGCCAACATGATTGACGTGAAGACTCATCATACGTAGAATCCACAATGGAGGACATCGGTCCCGGTACAAACTCACACACTGGGTGCCAATGCCAGGCATGCCAATCTGACCGGACAGCTACCCCACAAAGGTGCCGCTCTTAGGATCCTTCATTACATTTCACATTGAATGTACAGAAGCATTTCTCTGTATCCTGCCTGCTAACACTTATATGTTCAGGATCCCAGTGACATGATCGACCAGCAGTGTGATCATGTTTGATCCGCTAGTGGGCCCTGTAATCTATTATAACTCCCATCTGAGGATCCAATTTATTGTTTGGTAATTGAAGGATATTTATATTGCACCTATATAGGTATATCTGCAGTGTGATCTCATCCAATACACTGTGACTGTTAGCATCACAATAGTATCACAAGATGTGCAGTGAGAAATAGTGATGTCACTAGTGTGCTGACCACTGTTCTTCCTACTGGAGAGGAAGCTGTACCTCAGGAGCTGCAGTGCCAGGATCTCCCTGCCTTTGCTTCATTCATTCTGTGGGTACAGACCGACTTAAACTGGTATTAAACTCAAAACCAGAAATGTCATATATTGCAGCTTACCAATCATTAGATGTGGCGGCTGCATTAGTTTTTCTTTTGCTTTAGGCTTTTCTCTGTTGATCTGGCCAGTAACACACCCCTTGTATTAGAGCACCACCACTCTGGAGGAAGGAGCACAGGGGGCACCTTTGGACAGCAACATTGTCAGTCTGGGGGGGAGAGGAGTGTGGATGGATTAGCAGATTTAGATACACTGACACATTGAAGCCAAACTCCAGCTCACACTTTATAAGCAGTTACAGCCAAGTTTTTTTTTGTTTTTTTTTTTGGATAAAGGTTTTTCAAAAATAAAAGCTGATTATTGTAAGCACCCCTGTCAGTGGTAAATGGATTGTGTAACCCTAACCGCTACATCTGCAGAAGAACTTGTTCTGTGTGAAAAACCAGTCATCGGGGGGCAGCACAAACCCGAGGAAGAAAAGTCTTGCTTCTACCAAGATGGCCGCCACCACCACATAACGGCTTGGTGCAGAACAAGGCATGTAAGTCAGTACTGAGGGAAGTTTCAGCTGCAGAAAGCTCACAGGCCATACTGGTGACTTCATGTGGTCTCTGCTTTCGTTTTGTGGGCAAAGCTTCTGTGATCCAGGCCCTCTTCAATTATTTATATGACTGGTAATGGTTAGACTTCCAGTTGGATTGGAGGCCTAATTGCATGATGACGTTAGTTCCTGTAGCGGGGTGTCCGCCGTTGGCTGCATACTGTACACAGCGGCTGAATGTCGGCCTCTTCTTTCTGTGTTCATCTAATTTTACCTTTTATTCTCCTTCAGATTAAACCGTGACATGACGCTGAATGAGTTCAAGTTCATTTGGTTCATGGAGTACTCCCACCGTATGTGGGGGCGAGCGGTGGGCCTGGCGTACATTCTGCCGGCTCTTTACTTTTGGAGGAAGGGATGGTTCAGCCGTGCGATGAAAGGACGGGTTCTCTTCTTGTGTGGATTTGTCTGCTTCCAGGTGAGGACTGCGGAGCATGACGAGTCCTAATGCCCCTTCCTGTGGGGACTGGTTTCCTCCAGCTCTCCTGCCTGTATGTCTTTCTGCAGGGTCTCCTGGGATGGTACATGGTGAAGAGTGGATTGGAAGAGAAGCCAGACTCCTATGATGTTCCCCGCGTTAGTCAGTACCGGCTGGCCGCACATTTAGGCTCCGCCTTGGTTTTGTATTGTGCGAGTCTTTGGACGGGATTGTCTCTGCTCTTCCCAAGACAAAAGGTATATCAATGTATTCTCTGTGCTGAGGGAGAAGAGAGGAAATCTTCCCCCGCTGGTGACTCAGATCATGTGTGGTGGAATCCTCTTCTTGTTGTAGTGTGCCCTCCCTGCGTCTGTCTGGAAGAAACGTAGATGATAACACCCATGTTGTGACGTCATAATGTCTAACCCCCCCCAGGGCATTCTATGCAAAGGGTCAAAAAATGGGATATGAACTGACTTTTAGCTTCATTTCTATTGCAGACAATAAAGGGCATTTTCCCTCCTGCAGCTGGACTTTCAGTAACCTCACACCTGATGCTTCATCTTTAGCCCGGGTTCACACGGATGTGGTGAGGAATTTGCAGCGTTACATCGCACCCCATTCATGTGAACCGCTTCGGGGGGCGTTAACACCTAGAAATTGTCTGCAGAACGTGGTGCGATGTGCAGAATCGGATCACATGGGTGTGAATAGCCATGTCATCCGATTCTAGTGCGGACCAAAAAATGGGTCCTGTACCTTTTTGGTGCAGTGTGATTAGAGCCATACAAAATGTATGACTCCAATCACACCGCACAGAATTGGCATGTGATTTGCAGAAGAATGTGGTGCGGTTCCTGTGCGAATCACATGCGATATGCCGCACTGCACAAGGGTGAACTCGGCCTGAAGGAAAGAAGAAAAAAATACACTAACCAACTCTTCTTGTTCTGATCTGAGCTATACCTCCCCCGACTTCCCGAGTGCTTTCTTACCTCATTGCAACAGCTTCTGTGAAATCTCCCCATAGACGTGAATGGGGACAGACTCCTGCAGAAGTGCCTGGGTGGTAACTCCCCGTAGACGTGAATGGGGACAGACTCCTGCAGAAGTCCCTGGGCGGTAACTTCCCATAGACGTGAATGGGGACAGACTCCTGCAGAAGTGCCTGGGAGGTAACTCCCCATAGACGTGAATGGGGACAGACTCCTGCAGAAGTGCCTGGGCGGGGGGACAGACTAACTCCCCATAGAGGTGAATGGGGACAGACTCCTGCAGAAGTGCCTGGGCGGTAACTCCCCATAGAGGTGAATGGGGACAGACTCCTGCAGAAGTGCCTGGGAGGTAACTCCCCATAGACGTGAATGGGGACAGACTCCTGCAGAAGTGCCTGGGCGGTAACTCCCCGTAGACGTGAATGGGGACAGACTCCTGCAGAAGTGCCTGGGCGGTAACTCCCCATAGACGTGAATGGGGCCAGACTCCTGCAGAAGCGCCTGGGAGGTAACTCCCCATAGACGTGAACGGGGACAGACTCCTGCAGAAGTCCCTGGGAGGTAACTCCCCATAGACGTGAACGGGGACAGACTCCTGCAGTAAAGATGCTGCAGTTAGGGCGTCGTGCACAGGCTCGGGCAGCACCAGAAATTATTTTTGGCCGAAGTCTGCTGTCGGGGAGATAAGTGGTCACCCAAGTGGGAGAAGAATTCAGTTTTAGCTTTGCCCAAACTATTTAAACACTTCCAGACCGCCCCATAGCAGATATACTGCTACACGTGCGCAAAAGCACACGTGTGTGTCTATATACGTGATTTTACATTTCTGTGTAGGGGGCGCCACCATTTGCGGCCGTGGCTGTCGATGACCGGGTCCCGGCTGGTGATTACTCGCTGGCACCCGGTGATTGCCGAGCATCTCCGACAGGGAGGAGAACTGTATGTAAACCATACAGTCCTCCTCCCTGTCAGCTCGTGCGCACTGCAGAGCACAGCCATCCGAAGCAGTGTGATTACAGTGAAGCACACAGACCCCGCCCAGATAGTAACACAGACACAAGTAACACAGCACACAGGTAACCCTTTGATCGGCCCCCTCATGTTAACCCCTTCCTGCTCAGTGCCATTAGTACAGTGTCAGGGCTTTTTATTTGCACTGATCACTGTATTAATGTCACTGGGGATGTCAGTGGCAGTTCGTTCTTCCCCCCCCCCCCCCCCCCCCCCCAGTGTCAGAATGCCTGCGCAGTCCCGCTATGAGTCGCTGATCACGGCAATTACTAGTATGAAAAACAAAATTCCAGTGTATATATCCCGCCATTTGTAAACGCTATACCTTTCACGTAAACCAATTAATTTGCACGTATTGGGAGTTTTACCAAAGACACGAAGCAGAATACATTTTGGCTGAAATTTAGGAATTTGATTTTTTTAAGATAATTTTTACTGGACATGTTTAATAGTAAAGTCAAAAATATTGTGGTTTTTTTTTTGTCTTTTTTTGTTCATAGCGTAAAAAATAAAAACCGCAGAGGTGATCAAGTACTACCGAAAGAGCTCCATTTGTGGGAAAAATAAGGACATAAATTTCATTTGGGTGCAGTGTTGCATGACCGCGCAATTGTCAAAGTAACGCAGAGCCGTATCACAAAAAATGGCCTGGTCAGGAAGGGGGGGAATCCTCTGGAGGGCAAGTGGTTACGCTGGCCATAAACTAGTAGAATTTTGTTTGATTTTTTTTTTTATTGTAAGAGTGTTCAATGTTTTTTTTCTCCATTAGTGGGGTCAAATCGATGTTCGTTTTTGACCGCAGTGATGTGAAAATTTGAAGGAGCGGGATGGAAATTTTTTCTCGAATGACTAACAGTTTATGTAGTTCATTGGGGAAGGTCCATTCATTTCATATTGAACGTTAAAAGCAAAGGAAATGTTGAAGTTCTTTCAAACATTTGTCAAGTCATCGAATGTACTGAGAATTTTCGGATGAATGAACATCTACTAGTGTATGGCCAGATTTTTTCCAGTGCAGATCTTGGCAGTCAAGGTTGTAGAGTGGCCCTTCAATGGTTTCCTTGCTGATGGGTTGTCTAGCACAGGGAGGGGTAGGAGACGGCCCCAGGGACCTTTGGAGGTTGATGGTTTCCAGTGTAGCAACAGTCCTTGAAATTGCTGTACAATTGAGGGGCGTGGCACATAATCCTCCAGCAGGAACATCATAGATCCTGTCATTCCCCGAGGAGGAGAATGTTGTCCTGTTGATGGAAGGAATGTCTCATAAAGGTTACGTTTGTTTCACCCCGTAGTTCCCTGAGACACGTCAGCTCTTGAAGTTGCGGATGTTTACACACTGGACAGCAGGCCTGGTCTTCCTCACCGCACTCTCAGGTACCAAACCACTGAATTGTGTGTCATCAACTGGAACATACAATGACAGATCCGATGTGTAGGATGTAAAGTGCTGATCTGAGCCATCTTGGGAGCCAAATATGACAGCATGAAGTAGCCGACGCAGAGCTTTAACACAGACTTGTAGCTTTTCAGCTGCCATTCCTCTGTGCAGTCCAATGCGAGGGATCGTTCACACGGGGGGGCTCGTTCACACGGGGGGGGGGGCTCGTTCACACGGGGGGGGGGGGCTCGTTCACACGGGGGGGGGGGGGGCTCGTTCACACGGGGGGGGGCTCGTTCACACGGGGGGGGGGGCTCGTTCACACGGGGGGGGGCCCTCGTTCACACGGGGGGGGGCCTCGTTCACATGGGGGGGGGGGGGGCGTTTCACACGGGGGGGGGGCCTCGTTCACACGGGGGGGGCCTCGTTCACACGGGGGGGGGGCCTCGTTCACACGGGGGGGGGGGGGGGGGGGGGGGCTCGTTCACACGGGGGGGGGGGGGCCTCGTTCACACGGGGGCTCAGCTCTGTGCACCAGCCAGAACCATTTCCTTTATTATTTTACTACCGCTGAGTTGCGTGCAGGCAGCCCATAAGAGGTGAGTGGGGGTATGCATGGTCTGCACGGGCTCACCTGTACAGCCAAGTCTGATAGGTGTAACATAAATGTAAGATTCGGGTAGTTGAGATGTGATCAGTAGAACTATGTCATTGTAGATCTAGTCTCATTCCGTGTTATTACAGATCAGTCATCAGTCAGAGACATGTTCACCAATCAGTATTCAGTCAGAGACATATGTTCACCAATCAGTCATCAGTCAGAGACATATGTTCACCAATCAGTATTCAGTCAGAGACATATGTTCACCAATCAATCATCAGTAAGTAGACATATGTTCACCAATCAGTCATCAGTCAGAGACATATGTTCACCAATCAGTCATCAGTCAGAGACATATGTTCACCAATCAGTCATCAGTCAGAGACATATGTTCACCAAATCAGTCATCAGTCAGAGACATATGTTCACCAATCAGTCATCAGTCAGAGACATATGTTCACCAATCAGTCATCAGTCAGAGACATATGTTCACCAATCAGTCATCAGTCAGAGACATATGTTCACCAATCAGTCATCAGTCAGAGACATATGTTCACCAATCGGTCATCAGTCAGAGACATGTTCACCAATCGGTCATCAGTCAGAGACATATGTTCACCAATCAGTCATCAGTCAGAGACATATGTTCACCAATCAGTCATCAGTCAGAGACATATGTTCACCAATCAGTCATCAGTCAGAGACATATGTTCACCAATCAGTCATCAGTCAGAGACATATGTTCACCAATCAGTCATCAGTCAGAGACATATGTTCACCAATCGGTCATCAGTCAGAGACATGTTCACCAATCGGTCATCAGTCAGAGACATATGTTCACCAATCAGTATTCAGTCAGAGACATATGTTCACCAATCAGTCATCAGTCAGAGACATGTTCACCAATCAGTCATCAGTCAGAGACATATGTTCACCAATCAGTCATCAGTCAGAGACATGTTCACCAATCGGTCATCAGTCAGAGACATATGTTCACCAATCAGTATTCAGTCAGAGACATATGTTCACCAATCAGTCATCAGTCAGAGACATGTTCACACCAATCAGTCATCAGTCAGAGACATATGTTCACCAATCAGTCATCAGTCAGAGACATATGTTCACCAATCAGTCATCAGTCAGAGACATATGTTCACCAATCAGTCATCAGTCAGAGACATGTTCACCAATCAGTCATCAGTCAGAAACATATGTTCACCAATCAGCATCTGAAAGGACAGAGCAGCTCCTAGGCTAGAGGTGTCACTGAGGTGCCAATAAAACTTTCACATCGGGGTGGACATGGATTTCTCACCTTCTGGAATTCTAAAAGAAGAGCTCTAGCCATTCCAACTTCCAGAAACTGCAGGGGACAGGGAGAAGTCTCTGAAATGTCAGCTTTGAGTTCTATCCACAGATCAGAGGAATCCATTTCATGTCTCATAAAACCTAAAATATTAGTTGGAGAGAGATGGAAATACTTCCTGCTGATTGGACACATTTTAGGCTCCTCCTACATCTAGGACTGTATTTGTAGCCTCTGTAGAATCCCAGAGAAACACAAAACGGTTATGTGGCGCATGACTGCATCAGTGATTGGTAGTGCCACGATCAGACTGACATGCTGGTGTGGGGAACCCTATCCTTGACTCAGCCAACACAACCGTTCCTGGCCCATTCAGCTCTGGGCACTTCAGTACATACAACGTCCTGTAGGCTGGTACAGGAACACCCCCCCCCCCCCCCCAGGGTTGCTTGGCCAAGGGCTAAAGTCCTGCCCAAATCCATATTTCAATAAATTGAGGACCCTGAGATATGGGCGGGGTGATTTGTACGGAGCCGGTTCCATATGACTGGCAAATCGCAGACTTTCTCTGACTTGCTCCAGTCGCAGGATAAATCCGGAGAAAAGTTTTATTTCTGTTTTTATTCCCTTTTATTTCACAGTGAATAGCCAATTGTGTGTCTTTTTGTATTTTCTGTAATCTTTTTTTCTTTGTATATATTTTATGCTCCGCCCACTTTCGGGATATTAAATCATAAAATTATTAAGTGACTTCTGTGTACTAAGCTCGGGCTCATATCTCCAGAGAGATTGTTGTATTGTAGGGTCTATGTGCTCGATCTAAGCTCATTGCCAATCTGTATGCAATTGCACTGTGTGTGGGCAGATTGCATGCAGATTGTAAAGTAGCAGGTCTGCCAGACAGAGATCTGTGTGTGGGGTCTGTCTCAGCAGACCCTTCTGCGGATAAACTGTTGGGTGGTGGCAGGCTACAGTTTGTGGTGTGTCTGGTGTGGGGGGGGGGGGGGGGGGGGTGTGGACAGTGGAAGGGTGATTAACACCAGGGTTCTAGCTTGTAGGATAGCTGGAGGAATCCTAGACGAGTGTGCCAATTGCTAGACTGCTCCCCAACCCCAATAGTGCACCAGATTGTATATAAGATTTGTATCTGCCTGTGTGTGGTCAGCCAGCTGGATTGGAGTGGAGTCTCCCTCTAGTGGTGGCCAGAGGCAGTGCGGGCTGTGAAAGTGTGTCACTGCCAGTCTTATATGTTCAAAGTAAGTCCCCCTTATTCCTCATTTACCCCAATCATGGACCACGCCTCAGGTAGTTCGTTGCCTTGGGTGTGCGTTTATCTGTGACTGTAGGTACTCCGGGACGGATGCACAGCCCCGTTACTATGTACCTATCTACGTTGGCTATATGTGAACCCATACAGCCCATGTATACCCCCCACTTTATGTTGGCTGCATGCAGCTCAGCAGCTGCTGCACCATTAACTGTGGAAGGGATGTCAATCTTAACCTTTGTAAAGGGTTCTTTACCGCTCTTACTGTAAAGAACCCCTTAATCCGTTTAAGTTTGAACTGCTTCTTGTCCAACTTCATTGTGCTGCAGCATGTCTTCCTTACCACCTTAGGTTAGTTTCCTCCGAATGCCGGAGTCACCATGTGAAGATCTGTATATTGTGATTGTATCTCCTTATAAGCATCTCTTCTTCAGGGAGAATGGGTTTAGTATTTTTAGTTGTTCCTTGTAACTGAGCTCCTCCATTCCCCCCCACAACTGAGCTCCTCCATTCCCCCCACAACTGAGCTCCTCCATTCCCCCCACAACTGAGCTCCTCCATTCCCCCCACAACTGAGCTCCTCCATTCCCCCCCCAACTGAGCTGAGCTCTCCATTCCCCCCACAACTGAGCTCCTCCATTCCCCCCACAACTGAGCTCCTCCATTCACCCCACAACTGAGCTCCTCCATTCCCCCCACAACTGAGCTCCTCCATTCCCCTTACAACTGAACTCCTCCATTCCCCTTACAACTGAGCTCCTCCATTCCCCCACAACTGAGCTCCTCCATTCCCCTTACAACTGAGCTCCTCCATTCCCCCTTACAACTGAGCTCCTCCATTCCCCCTTACAACTGAGCTCCTCCATTCCCCCTTACAACTGAGCTCCTCCATTCCCCCTTACAACTGAGCTCCTCCATTCCCCCTTACAACTGAGCTCCTCCATTCCCCCCACAAAACTGAGCTCTCCTCCATTCCCCCCCTTACAACTGAGCTCCTCCATTCCCCCCACAACTGAGCTCCTCCATTCCCCTTACAACTGAGCTCCTCCATTCCCCCCACAACTGAGCTCCTCCATTCCCCTTACAACTGAGCTCCTCCATTCCCCCTTACAACTGAGCTCCTCCATTCCCCCTTACAACTGAGCTCCTCCATTCCCCCCACAACTGAGCTCCTCCATTCCCCCCACAACTGAGCTCCTCCATTCCCCCTTACAACTGAGCTCCTCCCCCCTTCCATTCCCCTTACAACTGAGCTCCTCCATTCCCCCTTACAACTGAGCTCCTCCATTCCCCCTTACAACTGAACTGAGCTCCTCCATTCCCCCTTACAACTGAGCTCCTCCATTCCCCCTTACAACTGAGCTCCTCCATTCCCCCTTACAACTGAGCTCCTCCATTCCCCCTTACAACTGAGCTCCTCCATTCCCCCTTACAACTGAGCTCCTCCATTCCCCCCCCACACCTGAGCTCCTCCATTCCCCCACACACCTGAGCTCCTCCATTCCCCCTTACAACTGAGCTCCTCCATTCCCCCCAAAACTGAGCTCCTCCATTCCCTCCACAACTGAGCTCCTCCAGCCCCTTTATTAGCTGTGTTGCCCTTCCCTGAACTCTCTCCAGTTCCAACACATCCTTCCTGAGGAATGGTGACCAGAATTGCGTAGTCAAGATGTGGCCGCACCAGAGTTTTGTAAAGTGATTAGCTTTGTGTCCTCAGCCAACACTGAGACTGAAATCGTTATTCCAGCCTCTATAACGTTTTATGAACAAGTTAACGTGGAGCCTGGACACCCTACTCACAACTGCAGACCATTCAGAAGACGTCATTATTCAGCACCCTCTGGGCACACTCATGTAACCAGTTCTCTGTCCTTAGGGTTGGGGTACATACAGTATTGTCAGTGACAAATGACCTGAAGTTGTAAATTTCAGCATTTGTGGGGTACTGTATAAGATGTGTTAAGAGAAGTCCAGATACTCCACAGACATTCCTCTATCCAAATTACAGCTCATCTCTTCATAGAAATGTTGAAAGGTTGGTCTGACAAGAACGATCTTTCAGAAATCAGTGCTGCTTACTACTAATACTATTTTAACCTGTAAATCTGTAAATTCTCAGCTATGGCTCCTTATCTTTCCTTCCAATGCTTTACATACTATTGATGTTAGGCTGATTGGTCTGTAGTTTCCAGGTATATATCTCAGCCATTTTTTGAATATTGGTACCACATTTTGCTTTTCAAAAATCAGCTGGTACCATTCCAGTAAGCCATGTTTGTGGGTTAATCTGGATGAACTTTTGTCTTTTTTTTTACCCAGACTATGTTATAAAATAGGCTAAGTTCTTTAGGAACGTTTGGATGTAAGTCATCTGATTCTGAGCTTCTTGAGGGTTTGGGTGTTCTTGCACGGACTATGGTATCTGCACTAGCGCCCCTAGCCCCGCTATTGAGTGACATAGTCCCCCTTCCCCTCTCTGAGATTATTATTGTACTCTCAGTACTGCCTGCTGGTAGTAGGAGAGAGTATCCTGGGCTGCCCAGTTTTTGTTGGTGTCCAGTCCCCCATTTAGCTGAAGGTATAACCCGAAGATGGAAGACTTTGTGTCCCTCATTGAACTCCATAAAATTCTGTGATATGGAGATACACTTCACATAGGAAGCATCTTGATCTTCATCCACCAGTTGTCTATAATTTCCTCTGATGTTTCCCATCATGCCCTGGAACCCTGCATACATTATAAAGGTGTTTCTTTCACTCTTCTCAGGGGCCTTTGTGGCTGGTTTGGATGCTGGCCTTGTTTACAACTCCTTTCCAAAGATGGCAGACCGCTGGATTCCAGATGACCTTCTGGCCTTCACCCAGCCTTCAAGAACATCTTTGAGAATCCAACAACTGTACAGTTCAATCATCGCATCCTTGTGAGTAGAAGAATCCTTGCAGGTTAATTCTGTAGCTGTTCACAGACTTCTTTCTGAAGAGCTTTGTTCCTCCCATAGGGGACCACTTCTGTAGCTGCCATTACTGGGTTGTATTTCTATTCCCCTGGAACATCCCACTTCCTCGGAGAGCCAGGCTGGCGGTGAACAGTCTACTAGCTATGGCGTATTTACAGGTAATTCCTCTTTGACATCCTACAGATGAATTCCATCATTTCACTTCCACTATGTAGATGTACAGCTGAACCATAGGAATCCAGCGCCAACCGGCCCTCTCCATTTTTCTGTGAGCTGTGAGGGAGGCTGCCCACCATCTGCTGGTTGAATCCACGTTACAGATGTAGAGTGACACTTGACTTCCTAAATGTAGTGGCATCATAGTGGCCAGTGTAGGACAGTTGTGTCCTTGGAGAAGGTCAGTTCCGTAATCACCAATAGAGGGGTTAGTCCCGAGAGAGATGAGCCGGCCATACATGGAGTGAAGGATAAAAACAGAGTGCAGCGCTAAAAAATATGAATACAAACGAGAAAAGTCCGTAATAATTAAATAGATGTATATCTTAACGAATCCCAAGGAATAGCTGATAAAGCCCGGAGACAATGGAAAGAGTGCGCACTCACCGGACGCGCATGGAAAATGCGCATATAATAAATATCCCCTGGAATCTTTATGGAAATGAAGAGAATAAGCTCCAACTCTGTAAATCAATCAGCCTGGAGATGTATGAGAGAAGTCCGGAGATCCCCTTTACAGGTGGTAAGGTAATCAGCCAGGATCCAGAGCTCCGTCCCTCCGGTGGTGGTAAACACACACTACAGGAATCCTGCAAATGGATTTAGCTCCCAAACAGGAACCAAAAAACAGGTGCCCATAGTGTAGTAATTCAAACCAATTTTAATAAAAAAATCAGGATAAAAATACAGGGTAGTAGGCTGTGTACAATGGATATATTACAGCAGAGTACGCAGCAAAAGGTACTGACCCTAAGTTAAAATGGCCGCCGGGCTATCTCGTGGCTCCGGGCGGGAGATGACGTCATGCTCTGTCGGTTCCTCCTAAGGCCTTTCGTGCCCAAGCACATCATCAGAGGGGGATACCAACCCCCCTGATGATGTGCTTGGGCACGAAAGGCCTTAGGAGGAACCGACAGAGCATGACGTCATCTCCCGCCCGGAGCCACGAGATAGCCCGGCGGCCATTTTAACTTAGGGTCAGTACCTTTTGCTGCGTACTCTGCTGTAATATATCCATTGTACACAGCCTACTACCCTGTATTTTTATCCTGATTTTTTTATTAAAATTGGTTTGAATTACTACACTATGGGCACCTGTTTTTTGGTTCCTGTTTGGGAGCTAAATCCATTTGCAGGATTCCTGTAGTGTGTGTTTACCACCACCGGAGGGACGGAGCTCTGGATCCTGGCTGATTACCTTACCACCTGTAAAGGGGATCTCCGGACTTCTCTCATACATCTCCAGGCTGATTGATTTACAGAGTTGGAGCTTATTCTCTTCATTTCCATAAAGATTCCAGGGGATTTTTATTATATGCGCATTTTCCATGCGCGTCCGGTGAGTGCGCACTCTTTCCATTGTCTCCGGGCTTTATCAGCTATTCCTTGGGATTCGTTAAGATATACATCTATTTAATTATTACGGACTTTTCTCGTTTGTATTCATATTTTTTAGCGCTGCACTCTGTTTTTATCTGTTACTTGTAGGTATACTGTGATTACCTTTAGTGCCTTAGCTGCTTACTTAGGAGCGCTCACTTTATACCTTTTATTAGTATACATGGAGTGAAAGCTGGACGGTTCATCAGGGAACCTGCTGATAACGAGGAAATATGAATCAAGTGACTTTCTGACCATTTGAGATGCCAGTCTGCTCTGCCTATGGGGGGTGTCTGGGAATGGCTGAGTAGTGCTGACTCTAATCTTCTGTCCTTTCAGGTGACTCTGGGAATTAGTACTTTGCTTCTGTACGTCCCGACTTCGCTGGCAGCCACCCATCAGTCCGGCTCCCTGGCCCTCCTCAGCACGGCCATCTGGGTTATGAATGAACTGAGACGTTTGCCAAAATAGTGACTTGTATCCAATCCGAAGTGTCGGTACTGAAGGGGGGGGGGGGGGGCAGGGGGCGCAGTGTGGGTCACATAGCATTCTGCCTTTATATTAATGGGACTGAAGAGACCTGAAGGATAATAAATTGCTGTAAATATATTTTGTATTTAGGCGGCGAGGCCTCCAAGTAAAAACATTTGTCAATATGCAAACCAAAGTAATACGAAAATAAAGAGATGGACGTTTCCGGATCGAGTCGCTTTCTTCTATTATATTTATTTATTGCGGAATTCATCATTATCTAGACAAAGAAATCTACAGGGGGTGTCTGCTCCATAGCTCCCTCCTGTGGTCGGGTGTCACAGCCCTTGCACTGCCCCACAGTGGGGGGGGTTCTACTGACAACTTGTGTGTGTGAAGGCTGCAGGGTTGTCTTCTCCTCATCCTGGTCATTACTCATAAAGTAGAGAAGGATGAGGATGACTTCCCCTCCACCAATAAGTGTCTGCCCCCAATATCCCTGCTTGGCGGGTTTCCTCCCCACCATTCCTGCCTTGGCGGGTTTCCTCCCCACCATTCCTGCCTTGGCGGGTTTCCTCCTCACCATTCCTGCCTTGGCGGGTTTCCTCCCCACCATTCCTGCCTTGGCGGGTTCCCCCCCCCCCCACCGTTCCTGCCTTGGCGGGTTCCCCCCCCCCCCCCACCGTTCGTTCCTGCCTTGGCGGGTTCCTCCCCCCCCCCACCGTTCCTGCCTTGGCGGGTTCCCCCCACCCCACCGTTCCTGCCTTGGCGGGTTTCCCCCCCCCCCCCACCGTTCCTGCCTTGGCGGGTTTCCCCCCCCCCCCCCCACCATTCCTGCCTTGGCGGGTTTCCTCCCCACCGGTTTTCTCCCTGCTGTGGCGGTTTCCCCCCACTGGTCCTGGCTCAGGTCTGGACTCCTCACCCGTCACGTGTTTTATGTAGTAAATGTTACCTGATATTACCACTTGTGTCCCCAGCACTGGGAGAACGGCCACTTACCTACCTATCCCAATGTGGGGGTGGGGGGTTGGAGTGCTGAAACTGCCAGCTGCCTGCACCAGGCCTGGGAGCTGACATGACACCCACTGTAAAAAGTGGGCGATTTTCTGCCCCGGGAGGCACAAGGGCTGCATACCACCACCCATAGATATGAATGGCTGTGCACAGATCTGATTGGATGTACGGCGGTACTGAGTGACACCATAAACACTCGGACAGCCGCCTGGAGTCGTTCATTTCTTTATTCGTCAGTATACACGTTTCTCCGAGTCTCGGCGTATACCAGTGTACCCCACGTGCAGCCGTATATAGCTCCGCCCTTTCTGGGCCCACACTTCCCTCTGTATGGACAAAACTGACCTCGGGAAACGAGGCCAATAAAAATCTTCCGCAATAATCCCGGAATGTCAGCAATGAAGTCGGGCCGAGAAGGACATCCAACCACCATGTTCCTATAAATCGTTCTGATCTGCAGCGATCGTGTGGGATGAAGTCGCCCTCCTGCTCTTCTGTGACCTCATCAACCCAACTAATGGAGAAATGTTCATCTTCGCTCATCGCGGTGTGGGGGGGCGGCGCTCTTCTATAGGAACATGCGACCAGCAGCGACCATCGCACCGGCCGAGGGGTCATTACTGTGAATGGGGCCACAGAGAGCTCTGATGGCTGACACTACTATTCTCATCATCCCTCATCGGTGAATGGAGGGTGGGGGGGATTTGTATCGCTGGGACTGAACCGGAAGAGACACATTTCCCTGCTGAAGTCCAGAAAGTGACAACAAATGGGGTCAGGTCTTCACAGCCCGCCCACGGGGTCACCGGAAGGATTTCTGTGTGTGAGAGACAAGCAGGAGCCTCACCAATCACATATAGAACTTCCGGGGGAGGGCGGGGCTAGGGTGAATAAAGAGCTTGGAGGAGGTCCATCTGCTGATGTCATACAGAGTCCAGGCAGGAGGGCGGGGCTTGCTGTATCTATGGAGACCATCTCCTATGTAGCTGACCTCCACATGCCCCACCCACTCAGCTCTCACACTGCTGTATTGGTCACTATGCCAGCAGGGGCGGGTCTGGGGGTGTGCCATCCTCCTGGAGGCATCACTGATACCCAGGACAGATCCCGCCCCCATCCTCATTATTTATTACAGGAACTTATATAACGCCGTCAGTTTACACAGCACTTTCCATATATATTGTACGTTCACATCAGGCCCCGCCCCCGAGGAGCGTACAATCTAAGGTCCCTAACTCACATCATACATACACATACTAGGGCCAATATAGACAGGAGACAATTCACCTCCCTCCCTCCGGTTTCCTTCCACACTGGCACAGGGAGAACATGCACACTCCAGGAAGGTGGTGCCGTGGTTGGGATTCGAACCAACGACCCCGAGTACTACCAGGGGGAAGTGCTAACCACTCAGCCACTGTGCTGCCTCATGGGAACGCCCTCCGCCCCGCCCCCTCCCTGGCTCTCACTGAGCGTGCGAGCGGATCCCCGAGGTTTGTGTTACTGGGCACCGCCCTCAAAATAATAAACGCCCCCCAATGAGTCCGCAACCCCGCCCCCTCCCATAGTACTCTCCGCTCTGCAGTCCATCGGTCCTCTACAGATTGTCGCTCCTTCTATAGGGCGGAGCTTGGTGTCATCCCCACCTCTGACTGACACACAGCTCAACCAATTAGACCAAAGGGAAAGAGGGCCAGCAGCCAATGAGAGAAGAGCGCTGCAGGAAGAAGGCGGGGCCAGTGGTGGCTACATTGTACCCAGATAATCGCCGGCCGGGATGACCGCTCACTCCGCCACCGTCCCCTTCATCATCTTCACCACCTTCTGGGGGCTCATCGGCATCGCCGCCCCATGGTTCGTCCCCAAGGGCCCCAACCGAGGGTAAGAGCCGGGGAGGGCGGCCTGTGTGTGGGGGAGGGGGGACCATCACCCCTGTCCTCATCTTCATCCTCCTCCATCTGTGTGAGGGGACCTTCATCATCATTATCCTTGTCCTCACCTTCATCGTCCCTATCCTCCTCCCCTTCATCATCCCTATCCTCATCCTCACCTTCATCCTCCATCTGTGTGAGGGGACCTTCATCATAATCCTCATCCCTGTCCTCCTCCCCTTCATCATCCCTATCCTCCTCCTCACCTTCATCCTCCTCCATCTGTGTGAGGGGACCTTCATCATAATCATCATCCTCATCCCTGTCCTCCTCCCCTTCATCATCCCTATCCTCCTCCTCACCTTCATCCTCCTCCATCTGTGTGAGGGGGACCTTCATCATAATCATCATCCTCATCCCTGTCCTCCTCCCCCTTCATAATTCCTATCCTCCTCCTCACCATCATCCCTATCCTCCTCATCTTCATCCTCCTCCATCTGTGTGAGGGGACCTTCATCATCATCATCATCCCTGTCCTCCTCACCTTCATCGTCCCTATCTTCCTCCCCTTCATCATCTCTATCCTCCTCCTCACCTTCATCCTCCTCCATCTGTGTGAGGGGGGGAAGGGGACCTTCATAATTCCTATTCCACTCCTCACCCTCATCCCTATCCTCCAACAGAGTGTGAGAGGGACCTTCATCATCATCCTCATCCCTGTCCTCCTCCTCACCTTCATCCTCCTCCATCTGTGTGAGGGAGGAAAGGGACCTTCATCATTCTTATCCTCCAACTGTGTGTGAGGGGGACCTTCATCATTACCATGACCCCTGTCCTCCTCACCATCATCTCTATCCTTCTCCTCACCTTCATCCTCCTTCATCTGTGTGAGGGGGGGGAATCTTCATCATCCCTATCCTCCTCCTCCATCTGTGTGCGAGGGATGAGGAGAGGTCATCGTCGTCACATAAATCTGATCAGAAAATCAGATGAAAAATCCGTCTGTGGAATCGATCGTCCGATAATCTGAGTCATTCTGGATGAAAGCCGAGTGCTGGCGATCCGAGCGACAAAATCCACAAATCGTGCGATCGATTCTGCGACTTTCTGTTCAATCTCTAAAGTTGTAATCCAAAAACATTATTAGAGCCGTGCCTACCCAGAGACGGAAGGTGTTAGAGCCGTGCCTACCCAGAGACGGAAGGTGTTAGAGCCGCGCCTGCCCATAGACGGAAGGTGTTAGAGCCGCACCTGCCCATAGACGGAAGGTGTTAGAGGTGTTAAGAGCCGCGCCTGCCCATAGACGGAAGGTGTTAGATCCGCGCCTGCCCATAGACGGAAGGTGTTAGAGCCGTGCCTACCCAGAGACGGAAGGTGTTAGAGCCGCGTCGTGCCTGCCCAGAGACGGAAGGTAATAGAGCCGCGCCTACCCAGAGACGGAAGGTATTAGAGCCGCGCCTGCCCAGAGACGGAAGGTATTAGAGCTGCGCCTGCCCAGAGACAGAAGGTATTAGAGCCGCGCCTGCCAAGAGACGGAAGGTATTAGAGCCGCGCCTGCCCAGAGATGGAAGGTATTAGAGCCACGCCTGCCCAGAGACGGAAGGTATTAGAGCCGCGCCGCGACCTGCCCAGAGACGGAAGGTATTAGAGCCGCGCCGCGACCTGCCCAGAGACGGAAGGTATTAGAGCCGCGACCTGCCCAGAGACGGAAGGTATTAGAGCCGCGCCCTGCCCAGAGACGGAAGGTGTTAGGGCCGCGACCTGCCCAGAGACGGAAGGTGTTAGAGCCGCGCCTGCCCAGAGACGGAAGGTGTTAGAGCCGCGCCTGCCCAGAGACGGAAGGTATTAGCGCCGCGCCTGCCCAGAGACGGAAGGTGTTAGAGCCGCGCCTGCCCAGAGACGGAAGGTTTGTTAGAGCCGCGCCTGCCCAGATTATTAAAGGCGCGCCTGCCCAGCCGGAAGGTGTTAGAGCCGCGCCTGCCCAGAGACGGAAGGTATTGGAGCCAATAATAGAAATGGGACCCAATTCTACAAATATTCCAAAGTATAACTTCCTGCCCACTATCCTACCCCCCCCCCCCCACTCCCTATATACTGCCCACTGTCCTCCTCCCACCCCTATCTATATACTGCCCATATACTGTCCTCCTCCCACCCCTCCCCCTCTAACTCTCTCTATACTGCCCACTGTCCTACCCCCCCCCCCCCCTCTATATACTGCCCTCCCCCCCCTCCTCTATATACACTGAAAATGTGTTAAAATGAAGGTTCATTGTCTGGGAATGGCATCCAGTGACGTGTCTTCTGATCTCTTCTCAGGGTCATCATAACAATGCTGGTGACAACCGCCGTCTGCTGCTATTTATTGTAAGTGACTTCCTCACCTGGAAAAGACCCTGTGCCCCCCCCCCCTCCCTCCCCCCCCCCCCATTTTGAATAGACTAAGGGAGGGTTAGAACCTCGGTCAGTTTATTTTATTGCCATCTGTGTCCCATTGGGGAGATTTCCCTTCACTTCCTGTCCCATAGTCACAACAGGAAGTGAGAGGAAATCCCTGCAAATTAAGGTAATTCCTTGAGGCCCCCAATCCCCCCCCCCCCCCCCCCCCCCCCAGGGTAGCAGAACCACATTGGAAGATTTCCCCTCTATTACTTGTCTGGAGACAACCTACAATGTGGGATATTCTTTCATTGATAATGGTAAACAGGACAAATAGAGAGGGGGAATCTCCCTACTGGGGGACACAGAGGAGGGAATCTCCCTACTGGGGGACACAGAGGAGGGAATCTCCCTACCGGGGACACAGAGGAGGGAATCTCCCTACCGGGGACACAGAGGAGGGAATCTCCCTACCGGGGACACAGAGGAGGGAATCTCCCTACCGGGGACACAGAGGGGGAATCTCCCTACCGGGGGGACACAGAGGGGGAATCTCCCTACCGGGGGGAACAGAGGGGGCATCTCCCTACCGGGGGACACAGAGGGGGAATCTCCCTACCGGGGGACACAAAGGAGGGAATCTCCCTACCGGGGACACAGAGGAGGGAAATCTCCCTACCGGGGACACAGAGGGGGAATCTCCCTACCGGGGACACAGAGGAGGGAATCTCCCTACCGGGGACATAGAGGAGGGAATCTCCCTACCGGGGACATAGAGGAGGGAATCTCCCTACCGGGGACACAGAGGAGGGAATCTCCCTACCGGGGACACAGAGGGGGAATCTCCCTACCGGGGACACAGAGGAGGGAATCTCCCTACCGGGGGACACAGAGGGGGGAATCTCCCTACCGGGGGACACAGAAGGGGGGAATCTCCCTACCGGGGACACAGAGGAGGGAATCTCCCTACCGGGGACACAGAGGGGGAATCTCCCTACCAGGGGGACACAGAGGAGGGAATCTCCTTACCGGGGGACACAGAGGGTGAATCTCCCTACCGGGGACACAGAGGGTGAATCTCCCTACCGGGGAAACAGAGGGGGGAATCTCCCTACCAGGGGGACACAGAGGAGGGAATCTCCTTACCGGGGGACACAGAGGGTGAATCTCCCTACCAGGGGGACACAGAGGAGGGAATCTCCTTACCGGGGGACACAGAGGGTGAATCTCCCTACCGGGGACACAGAGGGTGAATCTCCCTACCGGGGAAACAGAGGGGGGGAATCTTCGTAAAGGGGACACAGAGGGGGAATCTCCCTACCGGGGACAAAGAGGGAGAATCTCCCTACCGGGTACACAGAGGAGGGAATCACCTACCGGAAACACAGAGGGGGAATCTCCCTACCGGGGGACACAGAGGAGGGAATCTCCCTACCGGGGGACACAGAGGAGGGAATCTCCCTACGGGGGGACACAGAGGAGGGAATCTCCCTACCGGGGGACACAGAGGGGGAATCTCCCTACCGGGGGACACAGAGGAGGGAATCTCCCTACCGGGGGACACAGAGGAGGGAATCTCCCTACGGGGGGACACAGAGGAGGAGGGAATCTCCCTACGGGGGGACACAGAGGAGGGAATCTCCCTACCGGGGGGACACAGAGGTGGGAATCTCCTTAACAGGGAACACAGAGGTGGGAATCTCCCTACGGGGGGACGCAGAGGTGGGAATCTCCCTACGGGGGGACGCAGAGGTGGGAATCTCCTTAACAGGGGGACACAGAGGTGGGAATCTCCCTACGGGGGGACGCAGAGGTGGGAGTCTCCCTACGGGGGGACGCAGAGGTGGGAATCTCCCTACGGGGGGACGCAGAGGTGGGAATCTCCCTACGGGGGGACACAGAGGGGGGAATCTTCGTAAAGGGGACACAGAGGGGGGAATCTCCCTAAAGGGGATACACAGCAACAAAAACCTGACAGGGGGTCTGATACCTCAACACTCCATGCCTTTAGTTATACTTTATTGCAGGGGTCAGGGGATCTGTAAAACGTAATGCACTCTGGGACAGGAAGTGAAGGGAAATTTCCCACCTGGGACAAGGACTGAAAAAAACCTGACATTTTTTGAACTCTTCTCTACTCTGTCCAAACTAAAAAGAAGAGAAGCAACCAATCAGAATTCAGGCTGCTGCACCCACCAATGCAAGGCAGACTCTGATTGGTCGCTGTAGGAGCAGAGGTTGGAATTCGGGACGTTTGGTGTGATGACCTTCTCCTTGTATTCCCAGCTGGCTGGTGACCATCTTATCGCAGGTGAATCCATTGTTTGGGCCGCAGCTGAAGAATGACACCATCTGGTACATCCGCTTTGTGTGGGAGTAAACGATGGATTCAATGACGGTACGTATTCCTCCACGTGTCCCACAGAGCCAACCCCTCATTGGATCATAGGGTTGTGACATCATCCCTCCACCTCTCCATCTCAGCCAATTACAGGAAGCCTTGTATCCATTGATCAAATTCAAACCTTCCTGTGAATGGATGAGCAGCAATCAGCCGACTTGACTTTGTTCTGGGAATGGAAGGGGAAATCCCTGTACTGCTGCCGATACTCGAATCTGTATACTGGATGTAGATGGGTACGGGATACGGAGCCGTATACTGGATGAAGATGGGTATGGGACACGGAGCTGTGTACTGGATGTAGATGGGGACGGGACACGGAGCTGTATACTGGATGTAGATGGGGACGGGACACGGAGCTGTATACTGGATGTAGATGGGTACGGGATACGGAGCTGTATACTGGATGAAGATGGGTATGGGACACGGAGCTGTGTACTGGATGAAGATGGGTATGGGACACGGAGCTGTATACTGGATGAAGATGGGTATGGGACACGGAGCTGTGTACTGGATGTAGATGGGTATGGGACACGGAGCTGGATGTAGATGGGGACAGGACACGGAGCTGTACACTGGATGTAGATGAAGCTGTATACTGGATGTAGATGGAACTGTATACTGGATGTAGATGGGTATGGGACATGGAGCTGTATACTGGATGTAGATGGGGACGGGACACGGAGCTGTATACTGGATGTAGATGGGTATGGGACACGGAGCTGTATACTGGATGTAGATGGGGACGGGACACGGAGCTGTATACTGGATGTAGATGGAGCTTTATACTGAATGTAGATGGAGACGGAGCTGTATACTGGATGTAGATGGGTATGGGACACGGAGCTGTATACTGGGTGTAGATGGGGACGGGACACGGAGCTGTATACTGGATGTAGATGAAGCTGTATACTGGATGTAGATGGAGCTGTATACTGGATGTAGATGGGTATGGGACACGGAGCTGTATACTGGATGTAGATGAAGCTGTATATTGGATGTAGATGGAGCTGTATACTGGATGTAGATGAAGCTATATACTGAATGTAGATGGGGACAGAACACGGAGCTGTATACTGGATGTAGATGGGGATGTATCACTGAGCTGTATACTGGATGTAGATTGGGACGGAACACGGAGCTGTATACTGGATGTAGATGGGTACGGGACACGGAGCTGTATACTGGATGTAGATGGGTATGGGACACGGAGCTGTATACTGGATGTAGATGAAGCTGTATACTGGATGTAGATGGAGCTGTATACTGGATGTAGATGGAGCTGTATACTGGATGTAGACGGGGACGGGACACGGAGCTGGATGTAGATGGGGATGGGACACGGAGCTGTATACTGGATGTAGACGGGGACGGGACACGGAGCTGTATACTGGATGTAGACGGGGACGGAACACGGAGCTGTATACTGGGTGTAGATGGGGATGGGACACGGAGCTGTATACGGGGTGTAGATGGGGACGGTACACGGAGCTGTATACTGGATGTAGATGGGTATGGGACACGGAGCTGTATACTGGATGTTGATCGGTATGGGACACGGAGCTGTATACTGGATGTAGATGGGTATGGTACACGGAGCTGTATACTGGATGTAGATGGGTATGGTACACGGAGCTTTATACTGGATGTAGATAGGTATGGGAGACGGAACTGTATACTGGATGGAGATGGGACAGGACACGGAGCTGTATACTGGATGTAGATAAAGCTGTATACTGGATGTAGATGGAGCTGTATACTGAATGTAGATGGAGACGGAGCTGTATACTGGATGTAGATGGAGCTGTATACTGGATGTAGATGGGGACAGAACACGGAGCTGTATACTGGATGTAGATAAAGCTGTATACTGGATGTAGATGGAGCTGTATACTGAATGTAGATGGGGACGGGAGACGGAGCTGTATACTGGATGTAGATGGAGCTGTATACTGGATGTAGATGAAGCTATATACTGAATGTAGATGGGGACAGAACATGGAGCTGTATACTGGATGTAGATGAAGCTGTATATTGGATGTAGATGGAGCTGTATACTGTATGTAGATGGAGCTGTATACTGGATGTAGATGAAGCTGTATACTGAATGTAGATGGGGACAGAACACGGAGCTGTATACTGGATGTAGATGGGGATGTATCACTGAGCTGTATACTGGATGTAGATTGGGACGGAACACGGAGCTGTATACTGGATGTAGATGGGGACGGGACACGGAGCTGTATACTGGATGTAGATGGGGATGGGACACGGAGCTGTATACTGGATGTAGACGGGGACGGGACACGGAGCTGTATACTGGATGTAGATGGGGACGGGACACGGAGCTGTATACTGGATGTAGATGGGTATGGGACACGGAGCTGTATACTGGATGTAGACGGGGACGGGACACGGAGCTGGATGTAGATGGGGACGGGACACGGAGCTGTATACTGGATGTAGATGAAGCTGTATACTGGATGTAGATGAAGCTGTATACTGGATGTAGATGGAGCTGTATACTGGATGTAGATGGGGTCGGGACACGGAGCTGTATACTGGATGTAGATGGGTATGGGACACGGAGCTGTATACTGGATGTAGACGGGGACGGAGCTGTATACTGGATGTAGACGGGGACGGGACACGGAGCTGTATACTGGATGTAGACGGGGACGGGACACGGAGCTGTATACTGGATGTAGACGGGGACGGGACACGGAGCTGTATACTGGATGTAGACGGGGACGGGACACGGAGCTGTATACTGGATGTAGACGGGGACGGGACACGGAGCTGTATACTGGATGTAGACGGGGACGGGACACGGAGCTGTATACTGGGTGTAGATGGGGACGGGACGGAGCTGTATACGGGGTGTAGATGGGGACGGTACACGGAGCTGTATACTGGATGTAGATGGGTATGGGACACGGAGCTGTATACTGGATGTTGATCGGTATGGGACACGGAGCTGTATACTGGATGTAGATGGGTATGGGACACGGAGCTGTATACTGGATGTTGATCGGTATGGGACACGGAGCTGTATACTGGATGTAGATGGGTTTGGGAGACGGAACTGTATACTGGATGGAGATGGGGACAGGACACGGAGCTGTATACTGGATGTAGATAAAGCTGTATACTGGATGTAGATGGGGACGGGCGGGAGACGGAGCTGTGTACTGGATGTAGATGGAGCTGTATACTGGATGTAGATGGGGACAGAACACGGAGCTGTATACTGGATGTAGATAAAGCTGTATACTGGATGTAGATAAAGCTGTATACTGGATGTAGATAAAGCTGTATACTGGATGTAGATGGAGCTGTATACTGAATGTAGATGGGGACAGAACATGGAGCTGTATACTGGATGTAGATGGAGCTGTATACTGAATGTAGATGGGGACGGGAGACGGAGCTGTATACTGGATGTAGATGGAGCTGTATACTGGATGTAGATGGAGCTGTATACTGGATATAGACGGGGACGGGACACGGAGCTGTATAGGTGAAACTCGAAAAATGAGAATATGGTGCAAAAGTTAATTTATTTCAGTTCAGCAACTTAAAAGGTGACACTAATATATGAGACTCATTCCATGCAAAGCAAGATAGTTCCAGCCGTGATTTGTCATCATTGTGATGATTATGGCTTACAGCTCATGAAAACCCCAAATCCACAATCTCAGAAAATGAGAATATTTGTGAAAGGGTGGAATAATCTCGGCTCAAAGTGTCCCACTCTAATCAGCTCATTCAGCCATAACACCTGCAAAGGGTTCCTGAGCCTTTAAATGGTCTCTCAGTCTGGTTCAGTAGGAATCACAATCATGGGAAAGACTGCTGACCTGACACCATCACTGACACCCTCCATAAGGAGGGAAAGCCTCAAAAGGGAATTGCAGAAGAAGTTGGATGTTCCCAAAGTGCTGCATCAAAGCACATTAATAGAAAGTTATGTGGAAGGGAAAAGTGTGGAAGAAAAAGGTGCACAAGCAGCAGGGATGACCGCAGCCTGGAGAGGATTGTCAGGAAAAGGCCATTCAAAAGTGTTGGGGACTTTCACAAGGAGTGGACTGAGGCTGGAGTCAGTGCATCAAGAGCCACCACACACAGACGGATCCTGGACATGGGCTTCAAATGTCGTATTCCTCTTGTCAAGCCGCTCCTGAACAACAAACAACGTCAGAAGCGTCTTACCTGGGCTAAAGAAAAACAGACCTGGTCTGCTGCTCAGTGGTCCAAAGTCCTCTTTTCTGATGAGAGCAACTTTTGCATCTCATTTGGAAATCAAGGACCCCGAGTATGAAGGAAGAATGGAGAGGCCCAAGGACCCCGAGTATGGAGGAAGAATGGAGAGGCCCAAGGACCCCGAGTATGGAGGAAGAATGGAGAGGCCCAAGGACCCCGAGTATGGAGGAAGAATGGAGAGGCCCAAGGACCCCGAGTATGGAGGAAGAATGGAGAGGCCCAAGGACCCCGAGTATGGAGGAAGAATGGAGAGGCCCCAAGGACCCCGAGTATGGAGGAAGAATGGAGAGGCCCAAGGACCCCGAGTATGGAGGAAGAATGGAGAGGCCCAAGGACCCCGAGTATGGAGGAAGAATGGAGAGGCCCAAGGACCCCGAGTATGGAGGAAGAAGAGGCCCAAGGACCCCGAGTATGGGGAAGAATGGAGAGGCCCAAGGGCCCCGAGTATGGAGGAAGAATGGAGAGGCCCAAGGGCCCCGAGTATGGAGGAAGAATGGAGAGGCCCAAGGGCCCCGAGTATGGAGGAAGAATGGAGAGGCCCAAGGGCCCCGAGTATGGAGGAAGAATGGAGAGGCCCAAGGGCCCCGAGTATGGAGGAAGAATGGAGAGGCCCAGAGTATGGAGGAAGAATGGAGAGGCCCCGAGTATGGACCCCCGAGTATGGAGGAAGAATGGAGAGGCCCAAGGGCCCCGAGTATGGAGGAAGAATGGAGAGG